GTGGAGTTAATATTAAGTTCAATAGCTTCTTTAATGGCCAAATGGCCTTCCTCCCTGCGATCCAAATGATGCAGCGTGAGACCGCGCATGGCAATGGTATCGGCATGGGAGGGGATGACAGCCAATATGGCATCCGCGCACCGCAGCGCCTTTGCGTACTCCCGGGCATCAAACTCACAGCCGAGTTTTTCAAATATTTTTTTCTGCGCCGGGGGAAGCACTACCGTCATGATGATTTCTATGCGCACACACACACACAAGCAGAACGACAATAAATCCCCTCCCCCTCCCCCCCCACACACACAAACAAAAAAAAAAAAAGGGTGAATTAAGTGCCGTTTATCGATATAATTAAAAAAATAAAAATAAAATCTATTTATGTGCAGTACCGTGATTCCCACGCCACCACAGTCCCCTTTCCTTCACATAGTTTTAAAGAAGAAGAAAAAAGAAGAATGAAATAAATAAATAAATAAATAAATAAATAAATAATTAATTAATTAATTACCGCCGCTCCACCCCACTGGCCACACGAATGGAAAAGAGGCGCAAAACAACAATGAACAGGCAGTCCACATCGAAACAAATATAAATTTATTAACATGACTGTTTTTTTTTTTTTTTTTTTTTACGGGGAAAAAATCAATAGGAATCGTCGCAGTCAAAAACAAAAACAAAAACAAAAACATCCTCTTCTTCCCTCCTCCCCCTTTTTTTTGTTGTTTAAATTATTTTTATTATTATTTTTTTTCTTAAATCTCATATTCATGTGAAGAATGGAGCGCAACTTCGCACCATGCGTTACACATGCAAAGTGCGGTCAGCCAATATAAATCCCCGCCTCATGTCCACCGCCCGGACGCGGTACTGTGCGACGCCCTCTGAATGCGCAGGCACCGACACCGACGTCACTCCACGATCAAACGTCAGCGTTGTTGAGGTGGACGGTGCAATCAACGTGTTGAAGTCCTCCGCCGCCTTTCCTGTTGGCGCCTCGGATGATGATAATGACGATGATGGCACATGGGTTATCGTAATCTGCAGAACTGTCTTGTCCTTCACTTCTTCCGTGAGGCCGTCCAGACGAACGGACACATCGCCATCGCTTCGCCGCTCAACTACAACACTCGTCGCAGCCTGTTCTTTGAATTCCGCCAAACTCACGAGATAATTCGTGTGACACGCGTAGAGGATGGCGGCTGCCAAAAGTCTTGGAAAAAACTGAATGGTAAAGAAAATAAGCAAAAAGTTCCATAAATAACGCACTCCGAGACGTTCCTTGTTGTGTTTGGAGACAATGTAAATAAAAACAAAAGTCATCGCCATAAATAGACCGACACCTTCACCCAAAAAACGCATCTGTGCCTTTCTTCTCACATGATCTGAAAACTCAAAACCAGCTTCGTCCATTTTGTTCCTGTCTGGGGCCTTCTTGGTGTTGGAGGCGACATGCTCGTATGCCTCTTTGATGCTCTGAAAGGCAACCTTGGCATTCGGTGGTGCACTGGGATTATCGGGGTGATAGTGTTTCGCAAGAACACGATAATGCTCCTTGATTCTCTGAAGATCATGCACCTCCTCACAAAAGCCAAGACGATGATAGTAATTGCTGGCATCCCATTGAGCAGCATTGATGATTAACTGCTCCAACGGTGTTGTCGAGCAAAGCCGGTGAGGGCAAAAAAGAACACGGAACATATCATTTCTATGAAGGTTGAAGGGAATCGTTAAAGCGGCTCCACATGTATGCCTGACAAGATGTTTGGATGATATTCGCATGACTGCTGCTTGCCAACGCGTACATTTCTTTTATTTTATTTGTCAATCCCCACCCCAAAAGGAGGGGGGGGGGAAGAAAATAAAATCCAATAAAAAAAGAAAATATTAATAATAACAACAATGACAATAATCAGAATGTACCTCCTTCACACAATACACACACACACACAGAGGAAGAGAGAGAGAGAGAGAGACAGTTCATCATTCCCCTAAGCCATTTTATATCCAATGCATGCAGTCATTCAAGGAGGTTTTGTTATCCAATTTGGTATATATATATATAACAAGAGACAATAACAAAGCCATAGAGAGAGGGAGAGAGAAAGAGAGGATATTCGATAAGAAGAGGGAAATATATATTTTATAGTCCATGTCTTTTTCTTATGTCGAATAAAATAGCAGCGGCATCATCGTAACTTGTACTGTGAATTTTCAAGGGAACTTCAAGAGGTGGTGTAATCTGCTGGTCCATACTTACTGCAGGCGATTGATGCACTTGTTCGGTGATAACGGCCTCTTTATTGCGCTCTGGCAGTGGAATGGGTGGCACGACAGGTGCCATCGGATTTACTTCTGTAAGTCTCTTCTCTTGATTTACCACAGAGAAAGTTGGCGATGACATTGGCGCACTCACAGAATCGACGCAAGGACATTGCAATGGGGTATTAACGGCATCTTTTTCTTCATTTGACGCCCTTTGATGCGAAGAGACTTGTGGGCTTTCCAATCGAGAAACTAAAACACTGCGAGGGGCTACGACTTGTGGTCTCAGGCGATCCTCAAGTCGTTGAATTGTCAATTGCTGCTCCCCAATCATACGACTACTCTGCTCCTCTACCTCGAGGCGCTTGCGCCTCTCATCGCGCAGTTGAGCTACCAGGGAGCGTACAAAACCACGTGAACGCGGAGTCATTGCTCCAAATGAACCATTGCAAGGGGTTCCATATGAATTTTTTTGTCCTTCATATTTGGCGTAAGCCCGCCGCGCCTCCTCGTCTATTCCTCCATCGTTTTCAAGGTTATTCATCAAATGAAGGTCATGATTGAGACTTTGTTGTCGAAATAAAATAAGCGCATCCCTCTCCTTTTGTAATCGAATGTTCATTCCTCGTAGTTCATCAATCATGCGGTCTTGCTCCCGCATCAAAGCCGCATAGGCGTCCAGACGCTGTTGCATGTGAGCCAAGCGTTGCTTTTCCCCCACTGCACTTTGCGATAGCCGCACGACGACATCTTGCAACTGACTCATAAGCTCCACTTGTGGCTCATTTACGGGTGGTACGGTGGCCACCAATGTGGCGGCTTGTGTTGTAGCCAAATTGCAGTGCGAGGGTCGAGCAGGTGTCCCTTGCAGCTTTGTATTCATCATTTCAGGCCCTCTGCGCGATGCTCTGCCCGCTGACAATGCCCTGTCCCCATTTACTCGAATAGATCTGTCCCACGGCGGAGCGTCAGAGTAGCGGATGCGGCGTCCCACATCGGATGCTGCGGATGATTTTGGCCGCCGGTGCGATGACGGCCGCATGACAAAAACAACAAAAACAAAATATATGGGAGCCTCTTTCTCACGCCTTTTGGCTGAACTTCCTTCGTGCCTTTCTTTCTGTTTCTCCCTCCGCAGGGCTGTGGGAAGAAAAAAAAAGGGTCAACCACACACACACACACACACAGAGAGAGAGAGAGAAAGGGAGAGAGAAAAGATAATTCAGCATACACACACGAATTCAAGCAAACAACATCAGCAGTAAAACCTTCTCGGAGGCGCTGCATTCAGAAGCGGACCATCTCCCTGGTTTCCCCAGATCCAAAAGGTCACAGCACGCGCATGATGCCTGGCTCTCGGCGTCCCCGCAGAAAAAGAAGAAGAAGAGGGAGGAAAAAAAAAAAAAAATACATGCGGAGCAAAAAGATGACCCAGGGAGTGCTGAAAAAAGACCCTTCAATCTAGTTCCAAAATAAATGGTAATAAAAGACACACACACACACAAAAAAAAAAAAAAAAAGGAGCTGCACAAACAACATCAACACAAGGGAATAGAAACAAACAGTAAAACTGCATCTCCGTAGAAAAAGAAAAGAAAAAGAAAAAATGTTCTCCACGTGTTCATCGCCGGAATTAATACTGCGTCGTCTCGGATTGAAGTCGGCGGAATTCTTCTTCAGAGCGCATGAGAATCTCTCGCTGACGACAAACTTCCTCTTCTTTTTGGCGTAAAATTCGATTTTTTTGTTCCTGATCACGTGCCCGGTTATCTTCCTTTTCCATGATGAGTTCACGCTCGAGTCGGGCTGACTCATCACGAATACGATTCAATTCCTCCTGCAATGCGCGCTCTCTTCGTCGTTGCTCCTCTAATCGCATCCTTGTAGGTGAAAGAGCCATACCGCCAGTTGTCGATGCACACGGCGTGTCGTTTCGATAAGATGTGTGTCCCGTAATAACTGCACTTTTGTATGGTGAATTAACCATCGAGTGTACCACAGATGCGGCAAGACTCTTTGATGGAGGGCAAGGCGGAGGAAGATCCTTTTGCACATCTGTATGCCACGCAGTTTGTGGTTGAAAAACGTATAATTGATCGTACTCATGCATCTGAGTCTGTGAAACTAAATCCACCCATTTTAAAAGTGCATCATCATATATTTGAATGCGTGCGATAGTAAAATCCATCACTGGGTACCCTGATGGTCTTCGTATATTAGATTCAGCCTCAAACACCTGAAGCACCTTCTCTTGCAACTCCGTCATTGTCGGCATAGAAGGGAAACCAAGCTCCAAGTTGCATTTATCCCCATAGAGATCTGCACACACAAGAAGAGTGTACATCCCAGTCACTTTTCTCCCTTTTTCTCTCTCACTTAACCTCAAGTATGTGCTCTGTTTTTTTTTTTTTTTTGATTTTTCTCTTTCCCTTGTTTACTTCTAGTATTGGGGAAAAACCCCTCCTACAAGCAAAAAGCAACAACAACAACAACAACAGGACGGAAAGAAACAAATACGTGACTGTGCCATTATAAAATGCAGCCCCATTAGAAACCTCAGGGAATCACCACCTCCAATAAACAGAAATCAGATGTCTTAAATTTAATGTCTCTCTCTCTCCCCTCTTTTCCCCCGCATCTGTTGACCCGCGATTGTTCTTGCGCTTCTGGCCGGGCTTTCTCCCTAAGTAGCGTATTGATAACGAGTCCTTCCCTTTGATCGGTAATTGACGATGTCCCTAAAGGGGGATAAGACGGTTTTGATTTTGCCGGAATAGTTTCGCCAGGATGATAATAATGGTATGGAGAGCTAAAACATCTTCCTTCCTCACATCGTCAATTGAGTTGTATTCTCGACGGGTAGTTGTATCACCGCTGCGTGGGGAGAAGGCATGAACTATAGCCCCGCGATTCCCACCACGAATCCCATGCACTTCACCCAATGTCCGTATTTGCTGACAGCAGATGCGGAAAAATTCGTGAACCAGCCGATCTAAATCCGGCTCCAGTGGCGTGTCCACAGCTGACAAGCAGGCGTACAGCCAAATCCCATAGCCTACAGAGCGGCCGACAACGTTTCCAGATGCATCCACCGCATCCACCGGCATAAAAACTCGCAGAAAAGACAGCAAAGAAATGATTTCTTCGCGGGCACCACCACCATACAAAGGTGTCAGTTGGGTAAAAAAAAGTAATTGTTTGCCATCTTCATTTGTCCCATGTATGTTTCCATCCCTTGCGTCATGAGGTTGCAAGTCTTCTTCTTCTTCATCCTCTTCATCCTCTTCTTCCTCGTCCTTTCTATCGTCGTTGACATTGGTGTTTTCGCTAACTTCAAAAATGGTTTCACCCACCTTCTGGGAAGTATGCATCGTCGCTTTCATTCCCTGTTTGTAAAACCTCAGCGTCCGATCCACCAAAGCCGCAAAGAGAGCCGTTGTACGCGCGCTATCCAGCCACACCAACAGGGAGAGTGGCGGCATGTGGCCACATTCCGGACCGTGCTCATTCAAATATCTTTCCCAGAGCCTCACTGTGGGTCTTTTGGGAATGCTTATCGATGAAGGTTTGTTAGCAATCAACCATTGCACGGCACGTACAACTCGTTTTTTCGTGCGAAATACGTCCCGCGAAGTGAGCTGCGATAAGGTGTCCCGCAGTGCCCGCCAATCCCAGTCTGCCCTATCCTCAGTAAACTCCCCATCGCCGTTCGCCACGGCGTACTTTAACACGTCTTCTACTCCACCACGCAACGTCAAAAAACGCTCACGCACAGCATTCATACGAGCCATCGTCAAATCCGTGTATTCCGGTGTTGGTGCCTCAGCTGCGTCAAGAGTAGCATTCCCCAGTGTGCTTCCGGGAAACCATTTCTCCATCAAGGTGATAGGAGCACCGTTGCAAGGTTTCCTTGCAAAAGAGGGGGAGGAGGAAAAAGAGGAAATAGAAGGCGCCTCCGCAGCGTCACGACGAGGCGCCGTGCCCCTCTCGTCGTCGCTGTCACTGTCATGGATGCGCCTTGGCTTCTTCATTGGCAAACGCATGGGTGGTTTCAAAGGGCAATTGGCGGGGTTTTCTCCCACCACTTCTCCTTGTTTCTGCGAGACGGAGTTGTGTCCTCGGGCAAAGTGCTTCCACTTCAGCTTGGACGCAAGCCGCAGGTACGACTCCGCATCATCTTCCATAGTCGTCTCTCCCATCAACTGTGAAAAAAGGAAAAAAAAAAAAACTAAAATAAAATCACGAAAAACAACAAAAACAACAAGAGACAGGCAGAGAAATAAACAACGCATTCGATCATCACGGGTACATTGACAAAGAAAGTAAATGGCAAAAGGAAAAAAAAAAAAAGAAAAAAGAAACGAAAGAAAGAGACAGAGAGAGAGAAGATTAAAATAAAAATAAGAACTGCAACCACAGGAAGAGAAATAAACATTTCGGTGCGAGCCCCACCGGTTTCGTCCAGCCTGCAATGCAATACAGACAATACATACATGTATGGGTCATGCACTCACGCGTAGAACACATAAACAAAGAGAACAATGGAAAGCAATAGGAAGCGGGGGAGGAAAAAACCAAGCCGGATAAACGGTAGATTCCGGCAGAGTAACAAACATAAAAGGAAAAAAAGAACAATAATGAGGCAACACGTGAATCAAAAAAAACAACAACAAACAAACAAAAAATCAAAAACAAATTTAGTTCGCTCCTGTTCTCGCCGATAACCGCGTGCCACTCGCCTCCGCATCCTCTCTTGATATTAAAGTTCTTTTGATTTCCGTTGGCAATATGTATTTCTCATACAATTTTTTTTCCTTATCCCTCTCTCGTTGCATGCCCTTCAAATACATGTCCTCCACAAACTTTTTAAGCGGGACTACGGGAACTTTTTTATTGGATTTGAATAAAAGCCGCTCCTCTGCCGATTTGCGTGACGCATGAATTCTTTCAATGGTGTCGTAGTACAGACGCTTCACCATATCTTCCACATATTCGCTTGGTACCTCCTTTGAAAGAAGGCCCCATTCCTTCTCCCATTTCTCCCTCGCCTCAATAAGCGCCCTTTCATGCCGTTGGCATTGTTCATAAAACACACGCTGAGTGACGGCATCAATTTCATCCTTCGACCGCTTTACGGACGGACAGACCGGAAAGGGGTCACGCACCACCGGTGGGGGTGGACGATACGTCAGACGTCGAATTTGATCCTGCAGTTGCTCCGCCGTCAATCGTGGCGACGGCCGCCTCGAAGGGTCCTTCTCCACCATCCCAACACCACAACTGAAAAGACATCACAAAAAAAAAAAAAAAAAGAAAAAAGAAGAAACAACCAGTTACCCCTCACACCAAAGGAAACAAACAAACAAAATCCAAAAAAATTCAAAGAATTCACAATATCACACCGAAAAAAAATTTCGGATACCACTGGATTAAAAATCAAAATACAAAAAACATCAGTACGAATTTCCAGCGACGTACAGCGAATGTGATTCCTTGTCATCTTCGGCACGGTTGTAACGACCAAGTTGAGCAAGCGAGTTCATCTTGGCACGGTGCATGAACGCGCGGCGGCCAGCAGCGATGCCGGAGTCCTTGCCGCCCCACGCCTTGAGAGCACTGGACTGCAGGGCGCGGGCGTACGAGAAGGTTAGCTTCCACGGGCGCGGCAGATTGCAAAGGTTCATGGCGTTCAGGTACTCCGAGGCCTGCACTTCACTGAGACCACCCGACAGGAACGTCACACCGGGGAGCGCTGGAGGAAGCACACGGGCAAGTGTCGACACGGTGTACTGCGCCACCTGCCCGGGTGTTGCCCTCACACCAGATTCCGCGCCGGGCACCACCATGTTGGGCTTCAGCAGGCATCCCTCCCACATCACGCCGTGGCGGTGGAGGGCAGTCACCACCTCCGCCCACACGTGCTGCGAGACGCGCTGGCACGTCTCAATGCTGTGCGTGCCGTCAATCATAACCTCCGGCTCAACGATGGGGACGAGTCCGCTCAGCTGCGAGAGCACAGCGTAGCGGGCAAGGGTCTCGGCGTTGAAGCGCACGGCTGCCTCCGACACGGTGCCGTTCTGAATCTTGTACACGTTGCGCCACTTGCAGAAGCGGCAGCCCAACGAGTAGTACTTCCGCGCGCGCTCAACGTAGCCGTCAAGACCCCCCGTCATCTGCTCGCCTTCAGCACCCTCCACCAGGGGGTTCAGGCCCATATCTGTCTTGATGCCAGGCACCACACCCTTGCGCTGCAGCAGTTGCACAAACGTCTCACCGGTACTTGCCTTCTGGTAAACTGTTTCGTCGTGCAGGATGACGCCGCTGATGTACTGCTCCATGCCCTCGCACTCAAGCATCAGTGCGCGGTACTGGCGGCGGTGTTCCTCCGTGTTGCTTAGGCCCAACGGAGCAAAGCGCTTCGCGCAAGATCCAATGGATTCGTCAGCGGCGAGCAGCCCCTTACCGGGGGCCGTCATCTTCTTGGCCGTCGCGATGAGCTCCGCCTCGTGCGGGGTCTTCAGGCGGTTGTATGCTGGCAACTGCGTCTGTAAAACTTCCACACGCTGAGCCATTATTGCTTGTTTTACAAAATAATTTATTTGAGTTTTCCTTTGAATGTGTATGCTGCCCTCTTCATTCCGGTTGTGTGGCGGAAAAAGCCATCAAATCATTAGGGAAAGTACAGTGAATTGGATCATTAAGCAGGCGCACCCACGAGCAAACCTGAATAAACGACGCAAATTCCAGTCTATCCTGCCCTCAACACCATCACCATTACCACCTCAAACATCATTATTACATACATTTAAGCCGCTTTTTTTTTATGGCTAGAGGCATTTGCGTGCGCCTCTGGCTTCAAAAGTGGTTAAAAGGAGGAATACCGTAGCTTGATCAAACACCGTTTTTATTCCTTTAGATACTCGAAAAACAGAAAAACAAACAGAAAAAAACAACAAACATCTCCATACTCTCCTTGCCCCAAAGCACTTTTCAGTGCCAAATAATCCCTTTTTTTTTTTTCCGTTTTTATTTAGTTCATTTTGCTGTCACATATTTACTCTACAGCGCTCAACACCCTATTTCTCCTACATTTCCAGCCCATTGATCCTGAAATCCTTAAATTTTGCAATTGACGGACGACCGCCGCTCAAGTCGGACAGTCACGGTCAGTACGAATTTCCAGCGACGTACAGCGAATGCGATTCCTTGTCATCTTCGGCACGGTTGTAACGACCAAGTTGAGCAAGCGAGTTCATCTTGGCACGGTGCATGAACGCGCGGCGGCCAGCAGCGATGCCGGAGTCCTTGCCGCCCCACGCCTTGAGAGCACTGGACTGCAGGGCGCGGGCGTACGAGAAGGTTAGCTTCCACGGGCGCGGCAGATTGCAAAGGTTCATGGCGTTCAGGTACTCCGAGGCCTGCACTTCACTGAGACCACCCGACAGGAACGTCACACCGGGGAGCGCTGGAGGAAGCACACGGGCAAGTGTCGACACGGTGTACTGCGCCACCTGCCCGGGTGTTGCCCTCACACCAGATTCCGCGCCGGGCACCACCATGTTGGGCTTCAGCAGGCATCCCTCCCACATCACGCCGTGGCGGTGGAGGGCAGTCACCACCTCCGCCCACACGTGCTGCGAGACGCGCTGGCACGTCTCAATGCTGTGCGTGCCGTCAATCATAACCTCCGGCTCAACGATGGGGACGAGTCCGCTCAGCTGCGAGAGCACAGCGTAGCGGGCAAGGGTCTCGGCGTTGAAGCGCACGGCTGCCTCCGACACGGTGCCGTTCTGAATCTTGTACACGTTGCGCC